TTTAGTGCTGGTGGTGGCCGCTTCCGAGGTAGGCAGCGCCGACACAAGCTGGGATAGCTTGGACGAACATAAGCTAGTAAATCTTTGGCCTGCCACGGTAATGGAAGGCTCAAACTCCTGCGCCTGTCTATGTGGGTGCTCGATTGCTCGAAAATTCCTACAAATGTTTAAACTGCTTGCTTGCCATTTTCTCACCCAAGTTGAATTTACTAATATTGTGACGACTTCACCACATCTGCTCTCTTTCGAGGATAAATCCGTGTGTCAATTAGCATGCAAAAATAGTTGAAGACAATTTCTTCGGATAGGATGCGGAATGTGCATATATAGATAGGAGAGAGGATAAACTTGTCTAGGGGCGCAGGGAAAACTCAAGAAAGTCACAGCTCGAAACATTAGGCGTGAGACAAACCAGACCCAGAGAGATTTTAATGCAAGCATGTAGCATCTATAGTTTTATTCATTGTTAACGAAATACATTGTAATTTGTATGTAGGGTCAACTAGTTCTTCTGAAAGAAGATGCCTCTACAATAGTCTAAGCTACGTCACATAAGGAACTTGATATGCATGTGTAATACATTGTGTATGTAGTTTCAATTCTATAAATTTTGCAGTAGAACTTTGTCCACGGTGGTGTCGTCTTCTTGAGCTGTAGCTGAATTGTGCAGAACTACAAATGCTGGGTACTATACAAAAGAAATGAATTTAAGAAAATATTCGTAATTAATTTATTTGATGTTTTTACCTTTAACAGTATAGTTGGTTTTATTGGGTTTCAGCGGGCGCTGGAGTATTTTCTTGTCCTGCTTTAATGAGGTTGTTGTACATGCGCTCGTCCAATGCGACGCGTAGACTTGAATTCACCTTTTTAGTGGTTTCCTTGAAAATTTTGACCTCCTTGCAGTACTCTTGCCAAAAGTCTTTAGTCTCAGCTGAGTCGAACAGCTTTGGGAAGCGCGCGTATATGATCGTGGCCTCTTGACGAATGATTTTGGCCTGTGCCTCAAACTTAATCTTGTCGGAACGGGGCATCTTCCATTTTTTCAAATTGCCAACATATCCTTGAAGCTTGCGCAGCGTATCCACACTCTCTGGATGCCGCAGCAACATTACCTTGGTCAACTCCAATTTTTTTAATCGACCCAGGTTCTTTAGACATTTAGTCACATGGGCTTGCCGCAGCGGCAAGCATTGTCTGATCTTCGCGCATAGGTCAGAGAAATCCCGCTCTATAGTTAGAGCATTCTCAAGTTTGAGGATATCCTTCATTAGTTTCCGTTCCTCCTTCCTGCCTGTCTCGTTGGGCGAAGGCTCAACGATAATGCGTCCTGGAAGCGATTTGGGATCGAGTTGTCCAGACAACATCTGCTCCTTCTGTACTTTGGCCTCTTTGCGTGACTCATTTATCCATGACTGCTCCGCAGCGGCATTTTCAAAACTATCCGGCTTGTTGTGGTTGATGTTGATGCCAAAGACCTTGCCATATGACAAGTACACCAACACCATGTTATTTTCTTCATTCTGTGTAGAAATCATTTTGTATTGTATTTTGGATTGTCTTCTTGAACTGATTTACTTACGTTTGCTGGGCGAGATGGCTCTTGGAAGGAAGTAACGGCTGCAGTTGTCTTTAGCTGCTGTTCGGTTTCTTCGTCCACATGTTTTGGGCCATTGGCCTTCTCTTCAGCCACTTTATTAATTTCAATCATTGCCTTACGGAAGCCGGCTCGCTTCATGTACTCTTTAGTGGAGTACTTTTCCTTGTTTTCGGCGTACGGCAAGAGGTCTTGAATTTGTCTGTAGCCAGTCTCTCTCGTGCCATAAAAAAGCACAGTGTACTGCTTTTTTGAGTTCACCTCATTGCTAACCACTGCCGGCCATGGTATGTAACCGTTGACTTTGGCAAATACCAGATCGCCAATGTTGAACGATTTGCAAGTATTTTCATTTGCCATTTTTGATGAAATATTAATTAAATTTGCACAAGTTTTGCTCTGTTCGTCACAATTTCCAAGAGAGGAAAGAAAATGTTCAGATAACATTTCCGGCTGTCAAGAAATTATCGTTTCATTACCACTATCGCAATTCATCGGAATTCCCAAGTATTTATCTGTGATGCGGAAAGATGTGGGATTGGAAAACTAAAAGCTTCCATTTAAATTTATGTAATAACAAACATTTATGTATATAGCCGTGTTCCCTAAGGACCAAGTATTTTGTTAAAATAATTGTTTTAAGAGCGAAAATAATGAATAAATATATATATGGTTTTTTCTGATCCGATCCGATCGGATCTTTTTTCTTATTATCTCTATATTTTACTCATATTGGCGCGAGCGAGCGAGGCGAGTGAGCCGGGGGTTGCTTTTCCCCTAATGCTTAATGCCCCTAATTATAAATAATTCAATACAGTGGTTATGTATGCAAAATTACACATTTTAAAGCCAAAATATTCTATCAATGGGAATGAAACAAAATTTCAAAATTGGTTTCGCTCTTTTGTAATAGTGATTTTTCTATCCGTAGACTGGTGTATGCAACATGGCCGCGGTCAGAGGTTATAGAGTGCTGTGCTATATTGATAATTAACCAGCGCGCCCGCACCAGGAACCGTCGAACGAAAATGAAAATCGATTTTTTTCCTAATGCAATATATCTTGGCTATTGTATAAGACGTAGAATTTTAAAATTTTGTAAACAAATCTCGAACACACTTATGTCAGGTCATGTTTGTCTTATATCTTTAAAGCCTTATGTTCCATTGTTGCTGAACTTTTAACTGAATACAGGGCAATTTAATAACTTTTTGTTAAAGGTGAGAAGTGTTAAATGTTTTTTATTATGTGGCACAATACAAAAATAATTACTATAATCACAGTTCACGAGGAACATACGAGAGAGAGACGCTTTTTTAGAGAGACTTTTCCAAAGAGACTGAGATAGAAGAACATCGATATACGCTTCTGAGCAGCAGGGTTGCACAGTGTTGTTAGGGATCGATAGCGCATTATCGTGGCGGTCACTTTGAACAAAAAGGTACATAATTATATATAAAACAATACACTCGACTTCATCGAACTTAACAATGGTTCCCTTCATGGTTTGACTTTGACACTTCTAAATTAAAGCGGCTATAGGGAGGGTCTATGGCGTTCTCCCCTGGGAAAAAAATGAAAAATGAATGATGTTAACTAAGCTACATACATATGTGAAAAAAGCACTACCTCTAAAAAAAACAATCAAAAAAACCAGTGTTGCCTAGTGAAATATACAGTGAGTTGAAATAGGCAAACACAATTTAAAGTGTAATTTCTTTAAAAAGACAAAGGCAATGTAATTTGAGTAAGCAAGAAATTTGAGCAATGGCAGGACGTGGACGTAAAGGAAAGACTGGCACTCTTACGGTCGATCAAATGGCGGCGCTTGGCTATGTGAAAAACCTCCCCCCCGTACAGTCAGTGGTGCAGACAACATTTCCGCCGGTGGTGAAAAAGCCCATTGCCGTCGAGGTATGATGAATCTACGAAAGAGCCCACTCAGAATTAATAATTTACATCTTGACTATATATCTCTGACAGACAACAGCAGCAGAGGCCTATCAGCTGATGTGGAAGGCAAAGTTTTTGAATCGCATGCGCATTCGCCGTATTAGATTGTTTCAGAGAGCCAGGAAAATTCAGAGCAAAAGGTCGGTCGAGAGGTAATTAATCTTGTAAGTTTGTGTAATGGGCAAATAATTAGTTCCCCGCGTATACTTGCAGAAAGCTCTGGGGCAAGCGAAGGTGAAAAAGCTGCCCGAGTTCAACTACAAAACCATGCCCAAGGAACTAAACATGTCGAATACCAAGCGACATGGCGAGGATCCGCAACCCAAGATGCTGGCCAAGAAGACCAACATTGAAGAAAGTCTGAAAGTTCTAGAACAGACGGAGTTGAAGACAGGCGACGAGCATGACGACGCCGAGAAAGAGCAAGACGATGCTGAGAGTGAGCAAGATGATGCCGAGAAGGAATCTGATATGGAACAGGACGACGAAATGGACGATCCTGAGTCCGCACTAGACCATGAAATGGATGACGAGAACGACTATGGCAATAGCTATTTCGACAATGGCGAAGACTACAGCGAAGAGGATGACAACCTGTCTGATGGCCCCGTCATATAATTAGCTAGTGTTGGATCTCTGATTAACTATGCTGCCAATTCAGATTTCAAGTAAAATATATAATTATAGGGATATGTGACTTAATCCAAATTCTTGAGGAGTGAAGGGGGGTTCTGCAGATGACTGAAGATGCAAAATGGGAATCCATCAACCATGGATTTTGGCCGAGAGCTCGCGAATCTAATGCTTCCAGCCCACACCAAAACGCCGGCACTGAGGATGGCATTGTATTTGGTGTTCTGCTGGCTGTACTACTCAATCCTTCCATTCACTATTTAGTGCTGGTGGTGGCCGCTTCCGAGGTAGGCAGCGCCGACACAAGCTGGGATAGCTTGGACGAACATAAGCTAGTAAATCTTTGGCCTGCCACGGTAATGGAAGGCTCAAACTCCTGCGCCTGTCTATGTGGGTGCTCGATTGCTCGAAAATTCCTACAAATGTTTAAACTGCTTGCTTGCCATTTTCTCACCCAAGTTGAATTTACTAATATTGTGACGACTTCACCACATCTGCTCTCTTTCGAGGATAAATCCGTGTGTCAATTAGCATGCAAAAATAGTTGAAGACAATTTCTTCGGATAGGATGCGGAATGTGCATATATAGATAGGAGAGAGGATAAACTTGTCTAGGGGCGCAGGGAAAACTCAAGAAAGTCACAGCTCGAAACATTAGGCGTGAGACAAACCAGACCCAGAGAGATTTTAATGCAAGCATGTAGCATCTATAGTTTTATTCATTGTTAACGAAATACATTGTAATTTGTATGTAGGGTCAACTAGTTCTTCTGAAAGAAGATGCCTCTACAATAGTCTAAGCTACGTCACATAAGGAACTTGATATGCATGTGTAATACATTGTGTATGTAGTTTCAATTCTATAAATTTTGCAGTAGAACTTTGTCCACGGTGGTGTCGTCTTCTTGAGCTGTAGCTGAATTGTGCAGAACTACAAATGCTGGGTACTATACAAAAGAAATGAATTTAAGAAAATATTCGTAATTAATTTATTTGATGTTTTTACCTTTAACAGTATAGTTGGTTTTATTGGGTTTCAGCGGGCGCTGGAGTATTTTCTTGTCCTGCTTTAATGAGGTTGTTGTACATGCGCTCGTCCAATGCGACGCGTAGACTTGAATTCACCTTTTTAGTGGTTTCCTTGAAAATTTTGACCTCCTTGCAGTACTCTTGCCAAAAGTCTTTAGTCTCAGCTGAGTCGAACAGCTTTGGGAAGCGCGCGTATATGATCGTGGCCTCTTGACGAATGATTTTGGCCTGTGCCTCAAACTTAATCTTGTCGGAGCGGGGCATCTTCCATTTTTTCAAATTGCCAACATATCCTTGAAGCTTGCGCAGCGTATCCACACTCTCTGGATGCCGCAGCAACATTACCTTGGTCAACTCCAATTTTTTTAATCGACCCAGGTTCTTTAGACATTTAGTCACATGGGCTTGCCGCAGCGGCAAGCATTGTCTGATCTTCGCGCATAGGTCAGAGAAATCCCGCTCTATAGTTAGAGCATTCTCAAGTTTGAGGATATCCTTCATTAGTTTCCGTTCCTCCTTCCTGCCTGTCTCGTTGGGCGAAGGCTCAACGATAATGCGTCCTGGAAGCGATTTGGGATCGAGTTGTCCAGACAACATCTGCTCCTTCTGTACTTTGGCCTCTTTGCGTGACTCATTTATCCATGACTGCTCCGCAGCGGCATTTTCAAAACTATCCGGCTTGTTGTGGTTGATGTTGATGCCAAAGACCTTGCCATATGACAAGTACACCAACACCATGTTATTTTCTTCATTCTGTGTAGAAATCATTTTGTATTGTATTTTGGATTGTCTTCTTGAACTGATTTACTTACGTTTGCTGGGCGAGATGGCTCTTGGAAGGAAGTAACGGCTGCAGTTGTCTTTAGCTGCTGTTCGGTTTCTTCGTCCACATGTTTTGGGCCATTGGCCTTCTCTTCAGCCACTTTATTAATTTCAATCATTGCCTTACGGAAGCCGGCTCGCTTCATGTACTCTTTAGTGGAGTACTTTTCCTTGTTTTCGGCGTACGGCAAGAGGTCTTGAATTTGTCTGTAGCCAGTCTCTCTCGTGCCATAAAAAAGCACAGTGTACTGCTTTTTTGAGTTCACCTCATTGCTAACCACTGCCGGCCATGGTATGTAACCGTTGACTTTGGCAAATACCAGATCGCCAATGTTGAACGATTTGCAAGTATTTTCATTTGCCATTTTTGATGAAATATTAATTAAATTTGCACAAGTTTTGCTCTGTTCGTCACAATTTCCAAGAGAGGAAAGAAAATGTTCAGATAACATTTCCGGCTGTCAAGAAATTATCGTTTCATTACCACTATCGCAATTCATCGGAATTCCCAAGTATTTATCTGTGATGCGGAAAGATGTGGGATTGGAAAACTAAAAGCTTCCATTTAAATTTATGTAATAACAAACATTTATGTATATAGCCGTGTTCCCTAAGGACCAAGTATTTTGTTAAAATAATTGTTTTAAGAGCGAAAATAATGAATAAATATATATATGGTTTTTTCTGATCCGATCCGATCGGATCTTTTTTCTTATTATCTCTATATTTTACTCATATTGGCGCGAGCGAGCGAGGCGAGTGAGCCGGGGGTTGCTTTTCCCCTAATGCTTAATGCCCCTAATTATAAATAATTCAATACAGTGGTTATGTATGCAAAATTACACATTTTAAAGCCAAAATATTCTATCAGTGGGAATGAAACAAAATTTCAAAATTGGTTTCGCTCTTTTGTAATAGTGATTTTTCTATCCGTAGACTGGTGTATGCAACATGGCCGCGGTCAGAGGTTATAGAGTGCTGTGCTATATTGATAATCAACCAGCGCGCCCGCACCAGGAACCGTCGAAAATGAAAATCGATTTTTTTCCTAATGCAATATAACTTGGCTATTGTATAATACGTAGAATTTTAAAATTTTGTAAACAAATCTCGAAAACACTTATGTCAGGTCATGTTTGTCTTATATCTTTAAAGCTTTATGTTCCATTGTTGCTGAACTTTTAACTGAATACAGGGCAATTTAATAACTTTTTGTTAAAGGTGAGAAGTGTTCAATGTCTTTTATTATGTAGCACAATACAAAAATAATTACAATAATCACAGTTCACGAGGAACATACGAGAGAGAGACGCTTTTTTAGAGAGACTTTTCCAAAGAGACTGAGATAGAAGAACATCGATATACGCTTCTGAGCAGCAGGGTTGCACAGTGTTGTTAGGGATCGATAGCGCATTATCGTGGCGGTCACTTTGAACAAAAAGGTACATAATTATATATAAAACAATACACTCGACTTCACCGAACTTAACAATGGTTCCCTTCATGGTTTGACTTTGACACTTCTAAATTAAAGCGGCTATAAGGAGGGTCTATGGCGTTCTCCCCTGGGAGAAAAATGAAAAAGGAATGAAAATGAAGGACTGGTCACTGGATGTTAACTAAGCTACATACATATGTGAAAAAAGCACTACCTCTAAAAAAAACAATAAAAAAACCAGTGTTGCCTAGTGAAATATGCAGTGAGTTGAAATAGGCAAACACAATTTAATTAATTGCTTTAAAAAGACAAAGGCAATGTAATTTGAGCAGTGGCAGGACGTGGACGTAAAGGAAAGACTGGCACTCTTACGGTCGATCAATTGGCGGCGCTTGGCTATGTGAAAAACCTCCCTCCTGTACAGTCAGCAGTGCAGACAACATTTCCGCCGGTGATGAAAAAGCCCATTGCAGTCGAGGTATGATGAATCTACGAAAGAGCCCACTCAGAATTAATAATTTACATCTTGACTATATATCTCTGACAGACAACAGCAGCAGAGGCCTATCAGCTGATGTGGAAGGCAAAGTTTTTGAATCGCATGCGCATTCGCCGTATTACATTGTTTCAGAGAGCCAGTCTACGGATAGAAAAATCACTATTACAAAAGAGCGAAACCAATTTTGAAATTTTGTTTCATTCCCACTGATAGAATATTTTGGCTTTAAAATATGTAATGTTGCATACATAACCACTGTATTGAATTATTTATAATTAGGGGCATTAAGCATTAGGGGAAAAGCAACCCCCGGCTCACTCGCCTCGCTCGCTCACGCCAATATGAGTAAAATATAGAGATAATAAGAAACGAGGGGGTACGTTGTGAGTTGCTGCGGACACCGCAACTCTACAGTTATACCCGATACTAAGTCAGTATGGCTTTCCTCCGGCAGACGCCGCTAATATTAAACGACACGACAAAGAGTGCGTGCGAGAGAGACAGAAAATCAGTCTGAGCGTGACGTCGGGCGCTGCGTAGCCAGTGCAAATTGATTTGTTTCCTTTCGCTATAAAAATAATCTGATCTAATCCAGATTCAGCAATCTGATAGATATGGTCGTTATCTATGATTCTGCGTTTTTAGTTTTCTCAAATCTGCAATATTGTGGATGCAACAGATTTTCGTCCTTTGTGTGGGCGGAAGGGGGTGGGGCGAAATTTTGAGATATACGTTTTATAGTGAGATCTAACAGAAGTGCGGATACCAAATTTGGTTACTCCAGCTTTAATAGTCTCTGAGATTTGTGAATATCCCCAGATTTGCATTCTTTGCGGGGGCGGAAGGGGGTGTGGCGAAATTTTGAAACAAACTCGTCTCGGTCCGATATATTAGGAGTGTGGATACCAAATTTGGTTGCTCTAGCTTTTATAGTCTCTGAGATCTAGGCGCTAATGTTTTACTCTAAGCAAAGCCGCCTATGCTACGTGTGTGTTAGAGAGAGACAGGGCGAGAAAAAATGAAATTGTTTTCTTGATGCTGGCTATAATAATAATACGATCCAATTCAGATTCTGCAGTCTATAAGATATGGTCATTCTCTACGATTCTGCGTTTTTGGTTTTATCTTATCTTTAAAATTGTGGATGCCACAGATTTTCGCTCTTTGTGGGGGCGGAAGTGGGCGGGGCAAAGTTTTGAAATATTTTTGTAGCAGTGACATATCACAGAAGTCTGGATCCAAAACATCGTTGCTCTAGCTCTTATAGTCTTTGAGCATTAGGCGCTGAAGGGGACGGACAGACGGACGGACGGACAGACGGACAGACGGACGGGCGGACAGACAGACATGGCTCAATCGACTCGGCTATTGATGCTGATCAAGAATATATATACTTTATGGGGTCGGAAACGATTCCTTCTGGACGTTACACACATCCACTTTTACCACAAATCTAATATACCCCAATACTCATTTTGAGTATCGGGTATAAAAAGATCCGATCGGATCAGAAAAAACCATATATTTATTTATTCATTATTTTCGCTCTTAAAACAATTATTTTAACAAAATACTTGGTCTTTAGGGAACACGGCTATATACATAAATGTTTGTTATTACATACATTTAAATGGAAGCTTTTAATTTTCCGCATCACAGATAAATACTTGGGAATTCCGATAGTGGTAATGAAACAATAATTTCTTGACAGCCGGAAATATTATCTGAACATTTTTTTTCCTCTCTTGGAAATTGTGACGAACAGAGCAAAACGTGTGCAAATTTGATTAATATTTCATCAAAAATGGCAAATGAAAATACTTGCAAATCGTTCAAAATTGGCGATCTGGTATTTGCCAAAGTCAACGGTTACATACCATGGCCGGCAGTGATTACCAATGAGGTGAACTCAAAAAAAGCAGTACACTGTGCTTTTTTATGGCACGAGAGAGACTGGCTACAGACAAATTCAAGACCTCTTGCCGTACGCCGATAACAAGGAAGAGTACTCCACTAAAGAGTACATGAAGCGAGCCGGCTTCCGTAAGGCTATGATTGAAATTAATGAAGTGGCTGAAGAGAAGGCCAATGGCCCAAAACATGTGGACGAAGAAACCGAAGAGCAGCTAAAGACAACTGCAGCCGTTACTTCCTTCCAAGAGCCATCTCGCCCAGCAAACGTAAGTAAATAAGTTCAAGAAGACAATCCAAAATACAACTCTATAAATTTTGCAGTAGAACTTTGTCCACGGTGGTGTCGTCTTCTTGAGCTGTAGCTGAATTGTGCAGAACTACAAATGCTGGGTACTATACAAAAGAAATGAATTTAAGAAAATATTCGTAATTAATTTATTTGATGTTTTTACCTTTAACAGTATAGTTGGTTTTATTGGGTTTCAGCGGGCGCTGGAGTATTTTCTTGTCCTGCTTTAATGAGGTTGTTGTACATGCGCTCGTCCAATGCGACGCGTAGACTTGAATTCACCTTTTTAGTGGTTTCCTTGAAAATTTTGACCTCCTTGCAGTACTCTTGCCAAAAGTCTTTAGTCTCAGCTGAGTCGAACAGCTTTGGGAAGCGCGCGTATATGATCGTGGCCTCTTGACGAATGATTTTGGCCTGTGCCTCAAACTTAATCTTGTCGGAGCGGGGCATCTTCCATTTTTTCAAATTGCCAACATATCCTTGAAGCTTGCGCAGCGTATCCACACTCTCTGGATGCCGCAGCAACATTACCTTGGTCAACTCCAATTTTTTTAATCGACCCAGGTTCTTTAGACATTTAGTCACATGGGCTTGCCGCAGCGGCAAGCATTGTCTGATCTTCGCGCATAGGTCAGAGAAATCCCGCTCTATAGTTAGAGCATTCTCAAGTTTGAGGATATCCTTCATTAGTTTCCGTTCCTCCTTCCTGCCTGTCTCGTTGGGCGAAGGCTCAACGATAATGCGTCCTGGAAGCGATTTGGGATCGAGTTGTCCAGACAACATCTGCTCCTTCTGTACTTTGGCCTCTTTGCGTGACTCATTTATCCATGACTGCTCCGCAGCGGCATTTTCAAAACTATCCGGCTTGTTGTGGTTGATGTTGATGCCAAAGACCTTGCCATATGACAAGTACACCAACACCATGTTATTTTCTTCATTCTGTGTAGAAATCATTTTGTATTGTATTTTGGATTGTCTTCTTGAACTGATTTACTTACGTTTGCTGGGCGAGATGGCTCTTGGAAGGAAGTAACGGCTGCAGTTGTCTTTAGCTGCTGTTCGGTTTCTTCGTCCACATGTTTTGGGCCATTGGCCTTCTCTTCAGCCACTTTATTAATTTCAATCATTGCCTTACGGAAGCCGGCTCGCTTCAT